AAATAATCTCCATGATAATTTGAATATTTTTGTATTATGGTTCATTCCATTTTTTTCTAATAATCAAATGTTTTATTAGACAATACTTGATAATCTGATCATGCGATGTAAAAATAAGCGATAGTGATAATTAAATTACTTTATTAAATTGATTTTATACATCGATTAGGTTTAAATTCATTTAACATTACTGATAAAGAATATTACCATATCTCCAAATATTTAATCCACAATTAGCTAATGATTAAAATCGTTTAAAACCTGCTCCAAATCAATAAGTAATCCTGTTAACTATGTTAGTTATATATCTTGTTGATTTGTTATCATATTTAAAATACATTATCATTCTCGTGTCATCTAAATCAATTATTTGCGTTAAATTTTGTTTTATCAAAATTAAAAAAAATCACTTTAGAAAGAGAAAGAGAAGGAGAGAGAAGAGAAAAAAAAGAACTTAAATAAGACTTACTCGTCATCGAGTATAACTCCTACACGATACATATCATTCGTGAATTTATCCAAACATCGTGCCAGAATATAATTTGGCAGGAAATAAATTATTGTACAACTCATTAGAGCTGATTGTGCCATAAATGCGACATAATAATCAATGAAGAAATGAAAAATGTGAAATGTTGAATTTATATTTGCTATTTCAGTTGATTGTACTAAAAGTAATAAAACATGAACGATTGATTATTTCTCTTTAAAATTTTAATTAATAAAATTATTTCAGTAGTATTGCAGTAATGCTGTTTAATTAATTTACTATAATCATTTGTTGTTCTATTCCGAACAATTAGAAAAACGTGCATTAAAAATATTTCATTTATTTTATTAATTAATTCAGTATTTTTCTTTCAAGAGAATATCGAGAAACTATTTTATAATTCATTTCAATATGCTATAATTTATATTTCAATTTCTTTTATTCGATTTTTTCTCCTTTTTTTTTTGAAATTAAAAAGAAAAGTAATTGATGCTTTAATATTTGTTGCAAGTTTATTAAGCTAACTTGCAAATGGCAAAAATCCATTTATAACGGATTGAATCAAATTATAACATAAAATATTAAATCGCATGTGTTTCTGTTTAATTAAAAATCTTCCGTCAATTTTTCCTTTCAAAATGATAATTGAAATTGTTCAAGAAAAAAAGCAATGAAATAAATGTATCAATTATTATTTAATATAACTGAATCTATCAAGTAATCCATGAATATTCGGTGAAACATTTCAATTTTATCCAACATTTTGCTACAAACATATAATTTATTTCAGACATTATTGTTAATTTTAATTGTTTTAAAATGTGAGCCATTTTCCTTCGAATTATTTTTATTTATTTTTTTGTCAATTATTATATGTCTTGATGTTAATTTCAATAAAGAAATTTTCTCATTTCAAATTGTTTAAAATTAATTAAATTTTATAATTTCAAAAAAAAAAAACAAACTGCTTTTCAAAAGAACAGTGATGGAAGAAGATATGAATGTAATAGCGACCATTAATTTGCATATTTGTCGTATTCTCTTCCAGCAATAAAAATTTTGATCAAATGATGGGATCTGATTGATAACATTTTCGTTCAACAATGCAAGATTTTTTTGCATAAAATATAAAAATACTACACAAATGCCACCGCTGTAAAACTTATCGTAAATAATTTAATTCTTCAATTTTCGAAAACAATTCGGTAAATTATAACTTGAAAATTAACGACTAAAAATGAATTTTTATTAATTCAAATATTAATTCATGAGAAGATAGGGGAATGAAATATTTTACAAATCAAAAATTAGAGAAAAACAAGCACGAAATTTTTATTTAAATGATGAAACATTTGTAAATGACTAGCAAAATGAATAATTTTAAAAAGTATGGAATTTTACAAATTTTCAAAATCAATTTTACCTTGCTAAAAAAAGTGCATTTGCAGTTGTAAATGCAAATCGCACCGTAAATCCATCATATGAAAGTGACAAAAATTTATGTATTGTATGGGAGTTCTGTAACAATTAAAATGTTCAAAAACAACAATATATTTAGTTATTAAACATTGAAATTTTAAGATTTAATTTTAAAATTTATTCTTTGAAATGTTTATCATTGAATAACTACATTACGTACCAATATTCAAAATTATTCTTAACATAAGTAATTGAGCTATTTTGAGCATTTTTTTTTTCATTTTACATGTTTCATTATAATTTTTTCAATCTATAACTTTTACTTTTAAGTATGAATTTACAAATTAATAAGATTTTTCATTCTTTTTATCACTTCTTCTTTGTTTTTTCTCTTGAAATATTATCATCAAAGTTATTCGCATGTTACTAAAATTATTCCCTTTGCTGCATTTTTATCCTTATCATTAATACCATTATTCTTAGCAATAATTAATTTAAATTTACTTACCAAACAAATTATCACCAAAATATTGTAAATTAATAAAGGCTTTCGTAATCGTTCATTGTTTGTTGCATTTATAAAACCCAACAATTGCATATATGTAATCAGTGGTGATAACATCGATTCCAATGAATTTTTTACTTCTTCCTTTACATTTACATCTCTTTCATCTTTTTTTTCCATTTCATCATTGAGCACAATTGTCTCAATCACAATAATGTCCGATGCATCTTCTATAAGCATATACATTTTAGCTAATAATATCTTTTCATCTTTTCATTTTTAGCTAATAATATCTTTTCCGTATAAATAAAAACATACCAGATGATGATGAGATATAATGTTCCGGCACTGCTAATGGAGCCAATGTAAGCGGTATTGAAATGCTTTTTTGCTAAAAAAAAAGAAAAAGAAAGAAAAATTTCATATTTTAAAATATTTAAAATTAAATGTTAAAAAGATTTTTACTAATCTATGCAATAAGTAAAATTTGTTAAAGTGAAAATATTTATAATTAAAATGATAAAAAGATTTATTACTACTCTATCTGATAAACGTTTTGAAAAAAATTCTAAGCAAAATTATACGTTTTAATTAGGCTTACTATTTGTTTATTTGTCCAATATTCTGATCGTATCGCATCATTTTTCATTTCAACTTGAATTCTACCATTCTGCATTATGTACCTAATTTTTTAATTGTATCACATTATCATTTATCATTTCTAAATTTTTTATGAATAATTAATTAAGTGAACAGGTAAGGAGAAATAAACTAACTATATATTAATGACAAAGTTAGGATTAGAATGTTCTTTGCATATCCTCTAATTATTTCCAGTAATTCTCATATTATATTACCAATATAAGAAAGTATGAAAAAACGGAAGTGGAATGACAAACGCAAGATTGCTCGGAGTGTTCGACTTTATTCGGAATTATTTTGAATAAATTACTGAAAAAATTTATAAGCATAATAATTTGTCACATACAAAAAAAAAACATACAAATTATTTAATGAAGTGATGACAGAAAGATTTAACCTTAATGAAAGATTTCAATTAATTTGCTTATGCCTTTGTTTATTTTGAATTTGCTTATTTAATTAATTTGCTTATGCCGTCAATCAATAACTTTTATACAAAAAAAGAAAAGGCATGGAAGATTATGAC